CTGGGCTGAAAGGTCCCAGCAGCGGCAGCCCAAGGCATGGGAAGCTGCAGCCCAAGTGGGTCAAGCTCAGCGAGGGTGGGAACCACCGAGAGGAGGGTCGCACGGGGGGGCTCTGCTCCCAGCCCGGTGGGACGCAGAGGAGGTGACGTGTCAATTCTTCCCTCTCCGCAGGATTACTGGGTCTCGCTCCTGTACAAGCGCCTGGTTGGGCCCAAGGTGCTGGCCGTCCACGTGGCAGGGCTCCAGAGGGAGCCGCGCCCCGGCAGGGTTATTCGGGACAAGCTCCGTATCTACGCTCACTGCACCAGCTCCCACAAGTCAGTCCCCCCGCCAGGCCTGACTGCTGCGTGCACGACTCCGCGGGGAGCCCCGGGCTGAGAGAGGCTGTGGGGCTGCACACCAAGAATAGCGCAAGAGACGGGCTTGGCGCTCGCTGCCCGGGGCTGCTGGGGGAGCAGAGGGGGTGTGCAGGGTGGGGGGCTTTGGGAATGGGGCTGCCCCGTGAGTGAGCGAACGGGAGGCTACTGCGATGGCAGTGGGTCCCTGAGCAGAGACTGGGGGGTTGGGCACGAGCCCAACAGGGGAGATCAAGGGAGTGGATTTCACCCAGGCCCCAGAGGTCGGGTTACGCTGCCCTCCGGCTGACAGCGACAGGGAGCTGCCTGGTGGTTCTTTCAAAGGGTCCCACAGAGGGGCGGGAGCGCTGCCATCTCCGCGGACACAAGTTCCTATTGTGGCCGAGGGGAGGCCGTTTGGTTACATGTTCCAGATGCTTTCAACAACCTCCCACCCCGTAGGAAACCTTGTCCAGTAACTGACAGGTGCAGCCTGCTCTCCGGCCCCTGTCTGGGCTGCGTGCTGGGCGAGACAGAGCACCAGTGTCTTGTCTCTGTTCGGGACGTGTCCAGGGCAGCGCCCGGGCATAGAGAGCACTCGTCTTGTTCGCAGCATCCCCCCTTGCGCCCCCCCACACACCCGGGAGCTGGGGCAGGGGCTCCCCACAGCACATCCCTGGTGCCCTGCCCCATCGCACGCCTCAAGGGAGGTGAATCCACGGGTCTGCCTGGGAACGCCACCTCCCCGCCCTGCCTGCGTCCCAAGGGAAGTGGCACAGTGCCTGCTGCGTAATGTGGGCAGACAACTGCAGCCAGGAGCCACATGTGCCGCTGCCCTGAGCTCGTTAGAGGGTAAATCAAGGCCCTGGGCCCGCCCCTGCCATGGCACGATGCTGCTCAGTCCAGCGCGTGTTCATCCTGGACCCTCGCTAGGCCCAGGGGGATGGAGACAGGGCACAGACGTCCATACAGATCTGGGGGGAACGGGGCTTGCGTCCCCCTCTGGAGAGCCAGCGTCTGCCCCTGCTGCACAGAGCCTGTCTCCCGTTGGAGGGCTCATGCCATCCCTGCCTTGTTAGGGTGACGGCCCCCCAGTTACTGCAGTGCTGGTCTCGTCCCCTCCTGGGCGCTGCAGAAGGCCGGTTCCTCGCACAGCCGGCACAGACCCCCTGCTGAACTGGCCTCTTAGCAACAACCTGGTTTTTAAAGCTGCCTAGAAACAATGCGGTTTCCTAGTCAACATGCAGACAACCCCACCTTCCTTGTCACTTTCGCTCTCAGCCACAATTATGTCCGAGGATCCATCACCCTCTACATCATCAACCTGCATCGCTCCCGGAAGAAAATCAAGCTGGTGGGGACGCTGCGAGATAAGATTGTTCACCAGTACCTGCTGCAGCCGCATGGCAAGGACGGGCTTCACGCCCGGTGAGTGCAGACACGCAGGGCTCGGCCCTGAACGCCAGCACGGGGCCTGCCAGCCAGCAGCACCCGCGCGCAGCCAGTAAACCGCACTGGGTGGGTGGGGCTGAGGCCAGGCCGTGGTGCACCACCTGCAGCTGGGACAGGCTGGCTGCCGCTTCCCGCAGCTCCCATTGGCCGGGAATGGCGAA